TCTTAATAGTATACCATGGCTTGAATGTACCACATTGTATTCAGTCCTTGACTGTTGAAGGAAATTTGGGTTGTATTCAGCTATTGGCTCTAATGAATAAAACTTCTATGAGTATCTGTGTAGAAGCTTTTGTGTAGTCATATTCCTCATTTCCCTATGGTAAATACCTAGAAGTGGGATTTGGGGGATCATATGGTAAGTTGATGTTTCACTGTATAAAAAACTGCCAAACTGTTTTCCAGAGTATCTGTACCATTTTACATTCCCATCAGGAATGAATGGGTGATCCAGTTATTTCACATCCTCTCCAGTATTTGATGTTTTTACTTTTTTTTTTTAAATTTTAACAACTCTGACAGGTATGTAACAGTCTCATTATATTATCTTTAATGAAGTGTCTGTTTGAATTTTTTTTCCATTTTTAATTGGGTTGTTGGTTCTCATGTTGCTAAATTTTGAGTTATTTATGTATTCTGTATAGAAGAGTAAAGGCTTGGCTACTGTGGTCAGAGTCACAGATGCAAATAACTTGAGACAGAAATGTTCTCACTATGTTTGAGGAATAAAGAGATAGTGTGGTTGTAGCATACTGGGAAAGATGGAGAAGAGCAGAAAATGAATTTGGAGAGACAAACAAGGATCTGTGAGATCATGTAGAGTCTTACAAGCCATGGTAGGGAATTTTGATTTTATTTTGATTGCAGTGAGGTTGTAGGGGCATGACGTGGTCTACTCTGTGGTTTTAAAAGATTTCATTTGTTGCTATGTGGATCATATATTATGGGAGCAACCAGTTATGTGGCTATTGTAGTTGTCCAGGTGACAAAAGATGATGGCATAGACTAGGGTGGTAACAGTGGAGGTGGACAGCAGTGGATAGATATGGGTTATATTTTTCAGGTAGATCCCTTAGAACTTGCTGATGGATGTGAGAAATGTGGGAGTGAGAAGAATCAAAGATGACTTTTGAGTTTTTGACATGAACAACTGGTGACACTACTTACTGAGATAAGACTAGAAGAGGAATAGGTTTGAGGGAGAGGTCAAATATCTGTTTTGGATGTGTTGGGTTTGAGATGAAAATTAGACAAACGGAAGTGTCAAGTAGGCAGTTAAATAAAGGAGTTTGGAGCTCAGTGGAGAAGTTGGAGGGCAGTTCGGATAAAGAGAACAACATGATCAAAGGCATGGAGCTGTGGAAGTATGGGGTATGCCCAAATTAGGTAAGCAAGTAGTTAAGTTTGGCTAGTGTATATTTGCCAAAGTAGGAAGAGGAATAGGCATTGCTGAAAAGGTAGGCCAGGGCTTTTAGGAAGGGTTTACATGCTTAGGTGAAGTATGTGGAGCTTATACTTTGAATATTAAGGAGTTATTAGAAGTTTTTAAACAGAGAAACAACATGAACAAAAAGAAGTTTTGGAAAGATTAAAATAGCATAGCCAAAACAATTTTAAAAGAGAACACAGTTGGAGAACTCACACTTAACGATTTCTAAACTTACTACAAAGCACGGTAATCAAGACTGTGTGATATTGGCATAAGGATAGACATACAGATGAATGGAATATAATTGAGAGTACAGAAATAAACCCTTACATTTATGGTCAATTGATTTTCAACAAGGGTTCCAAGACCATTAAACAGAGAAAGAACAGTCTTTTCAATTAGTGGTGGTGGGGCAACTATATATCTACATTCAAAACAGTGGAATTGGATCCCAAACACACAGCATTTAGAAAAATCAACTCAAAATGGTTCAGACACCTAAATGTTAGCACTACAGCTATAAAATTCTTAGAAGAAAACAGAAGAGGGAATCTTTATAACCTTGGATTAAGCAATGGTTTCTTAGATACAACACAAAAAGCACAAGTGACCAAATAAAAAAATAGGTAAATTGAACATTCTGAAAATTAAAAACTTTTGTATAAAAAAGTGAAAAGACAAGTCATAGGATGGGAAAAAATTTGGCAATTATGTATCTGATAAGGAACTTGTATCCAGAATGTATAAAGATCTGTAGCTCAATGTCATTATTATTTGACAATGCTATTGTCAAAAAACAAATAACCTAAATTAAAATGGGCAAAGGATTTGAATAGATATTTCTCCTAAAAAGATATTAAAGAGGGCCAATAAGCACAAGTGCAGATGCTCAACATCATTAGCCATCAGAGAAATGCAAATTAAAACTGCAATGAGATAACACTTCTCACCTGCTAGGATGGCTAAAATAAAATTTTTAAGAAAGAACAGACAATAATTATCACAAAGATGCTGAGAAATTGGAATTGTTATACACTGGTGGTAGAAATGCAAAATGGTACAGCTACTTTGGAAACCAACTTGACAACTCCTGAAATGGTTAAACATAGAGTTACCATATAACCCAGGGATTTCACTCCTACATATAAACCTAAGAGAAATGAAAACACATGTCCACACAGAAACCTGTACACAAATACTGATAGAAGCATTATTCATAATAGCCAAAAAGTGGAAATGAACCAAATGTTCATCAGCGGATGAATGGATGAATAAAATGTGGTATTTCGTACAATGGAATATTCTTTGGCACTAAAAAGTAATTAAATATGCTGATACATGCTACAACAACCATATAAACATTATGCTAAATAAAACAATTCAGTCACAAAAGGCAATATAATGTATAATTCAATTTGTATAAAATGTTCAGAATGGGCAAATCTATAGGGCCTGAAGTAGATTAGTGATTGCTTTGTGGTGGGTAGGTAAATTAGGAGGTTTCAGAAGTGCAAGGAGTTATTTTGGTGGTAATGTGATGGTACAAAATGGATTGTGGTCATTACAAAATTATGTGAATATACTAAAAATCATTGAATTGTACACTTTAAATGGGTGAACTGTATAATATGTGAATTATATCTCAAAAAAGCTGTTGTGAAAAAAATTAATATGGCATCAATTGGAAGAGGAACTGGAGAGGGCAAGGCTAGAGGCAGAGAGACATGTTAGGAGGTTTTGTAACAGTCCAGTAGAGAAAACAAGAGTCTGAATGAGGGCAGGAATACTGGAAATTGGAAGGAGGAGAGGATGGCTATAAAATATATGGTTGAGATGGAATCATTAAGTCTTGCCATATGGTTGGATGTTTAATGCATGAAGATAAGGAGGCAAAGGAGACTAACATTTTGAGTCTGGGTAAGTAGGAGAGTGATGATGTTATTTATTGACACCGGGAGCACAGATTGAGAGACAAGGTTGTTTTTAAAAGGAGGGAGATGAGTTCATAACAATTACAGTTCTTTTTTTTTTTTTTTTTTTTTTTTTCCTTTTTG